CCCACCTCTTGTTCAATTTTTACGTGTGGATTCCTAACATATCTTTTATAAGATGTTAAAGATATTTTAATGGGAATGGAGAGGGATCTTAGGGCAACGTTAAGTTTGAAAAAAAAAATTGAGACTTCTGTCAACTTACCTATTTATTGCAGGGAAGCAAAATACAGACAAGAGTTGGATTATTAATGCTGCTCTGTACTTGGCTAAGCAACTGTCCCATTGCAGTAACGCATTTTCTTCACAATTCAGCCAATGTCCCATTTGTATCCTTTATGTTTCAGTAAGATATGAGTAAGTATTTATTCTTATTTCTTCCTCTCAATGAGAGGTAGTTCTGTATTCTAAATATGTGAATTCATCTGTGTTGCAGGTTTTCCAACTGTTAAGGTGGTGATGATGCTTATGCTGTGTGTATATATGTGTGTGTCTGGTACCATTGTTTGTTTTATGCTTGCTCAGACTACGTTATATGTTTGTTTTAGCTTGATATAGAAGCTTTTGTAGAAATTCTTACATAAAATATGTGTCAAATTCAAACTGTAAAGTAAAATACTCTAGATACTATGAACCGTTAGTCTCCTTAACAAAAAATTTCAGCTTACAGGACAAATTGCAGAAAATCTTGGCGAGGAAGAGCAGTTGGTCCAAGGCTTGTGTGCCCTTCTGTTGGGCATTTCAATTTACTTCAATGATAACTCACTTGAGAGCTACATGAAGTAAGTAAGGGGGAAATGCTAGGGGGAAACAACCTGCTAACGTCATCAAGTGATAAGGATAAATTTTTTCTGCCAAAGTATAGTGTAGACCAAGTTTTATGTTTTGTTACAACTTTTTTTTTTAAAGCATCTCAATATGCTTATCTCTGTAGAGAGAAATTAAAACAACTAATAGAGAAGAGGATTGGCAAAGAAAACTTCATAGAGAAACTAGGATTTATTAGCAAACATGAGTTGTATTCCAGAGCATCTCAGAAACCACAGCCAAACTTTCCCAGTCCAGAATACATGATATTTGATCATGAGTTTACGAAGCTGGTAAAAGAACTTGAAGGTAAGACAAAGTTTATATTGATTTTCATTTAAAAATACCTATGATTATTTTGTATATGTATATTTTGGACACAGCCCAAAGCAGGGTTTTTTTTTCCTAGCTCTTGGTTTATAGTTCATTGAAGGATTTTTGGTGTTCAATAAGATTGGAAAGACTATATCTTATCTGTCAGGCAGTTAGGCCATATGTTTTTGCTGGTTAAGTCTTAATAATAAAATAGGATTTAAATTTTTTTTTTTTTAAGATTTTGTTTATTTTAGAGAGAGCCCACGCGTGCGTGCGCACTTGTGAG